AAAAATAGAAGAAAGAGAAGTTAGGGTTATGTGGGTAATTTGGAGATTGTATAAAAATATTAAGGGCAAAAAGGTAAAAATATGATCAACTTAAAATAGCTTATAAGGTGGAGAAAAAAAAGCACCCCTACCCCAGCTTTTAACTTTTGGCTTAAAATAAGTTTTTTTTAACTTAAAATAAGTTGTTTTGAGTATTGCCAAACAGCTAAAGAAGTCAAAAACTAGCTTTTAAGTTAGTTTGACCAGCTTTTAAGCTGAGCCAAACAGACTCTAAATTGACTTTTGCACACGTCGTCTAACCTAACATAAAAATTGAAATATAAATAAAAACTCTTTTAAGATTATAGTTTAAAATAAATCTTAGATGCTTATATAATTAGAAATTTTATTTTAAAAATAAAGTAAATTAATTTATTTTTAAATATAAAAAATTATTACTCTCTCTAAAGAACACTAAAAAAATAATGATGACGAGGAAGAAAGTAGCATTATTAGATCCGAACTTCTTAAAGGAAATTCGCTTTTTCTATTACACATGGCAGACATGATGAATGTATTAAATTAATCATCACCTAAACAAGTTGTATTTATTCCTAAAATATAGTAATAATATAATTTTTAACTTTTTGTTTTGTTTTGCAATTGTGAATGAGAAGATGACTCTCAATAAATATTTTTTACTTTGCCTGCTGTTGACATAATCTAAAAGTTTACTTTTTATAAAAATATTAATGTAAAGGTTTAGGGAATCTCCGCAGGCAATTCATAGATTGATATAGAAAGTTAGATTTATGAATGTATATTTTTGAAAAATTGATATAAAAAGAAATAGACGTATATGATGATATATTTGAATTTTTTAGTATGATCTAACGATGTAAATTGATTTAATAATGAAATTAAAATAGCGATTTAATGAAAAACAAACTGATTGAGAAAGTATTAGATCTGGAAAGTGGGTCTTCGTACTGCTTACATGAATAATAGAAAATCAATACCGTTTATGTTAAAACATGAGAAAAGACATAAAGACATCATCGAAGTTGTCCCATATTTGCATAAAGACACCTAAACTTTAAAAGTGTCTTATCACTCCACGAAATAACTATATATCGTTGTAAATTGACCATTTTTACCCATTCCATCGTCAATGTAGTGCACGTGTTGCTCACTCTCTAGATAACCCGACCCCACCCTTTTTTTTTTGAAGAAAATTCGTGAACTCCTTTTCATTTCAATTCTCAACTTTTCCCTAAAATCAAACGAAATACACAGTGTTGTTGTTGACGACAGTTTTTGTTGACAAACTCGTTGTTGATCATTGTTGATCGTTGTTGATGTGTATTTGTGAAGATTCTTGGAGATGGAAGAAAGTCTAACAAGTTAGGGTTCTAAAATCTTCACTTTTTTTTCCGATTATTTTGATTTTATGGATTATTATAGTGTAAAAGTGTTAGAATCGACCTCCTACAGTTGCCATTGTTAGGATATTTTTGAGTATGTTGGGTAATCGACTTAGTTAGTGTAGGATATTGTGTTATTGACTTAGTGCGAGTGTTAGTGATTAGGGTTTTGTGATTGTGTTTTAGGTTAGGGTTAGATGTTATCCACTTAGTTCAAATCTTATTATTTGTCTCTTATACATTTGTAGACTTCAATTTGTTCATTATCAACTGCTATTGTTAGTGTTTTTGTTCTGTTAGTACTGTTACAACTAATGTTAATGCTTCTTTCTACTTTTGTTAGTTAGTGTTTCTGTTGTTGATGTTTGTTAGTGATTATGTTTGTTGTGTACAACTTGTTAGAGTTAGTTATTGAAATGTGTGTTTGAGTTGTGTTTGTTGTTACATGCTTTTTCACGACGGATTTTAATCTGATAACTTTAAGATGGTATCATGCGGGGGGAGGGGGGAAATAGAATTTGGTCCACCACCTAAATATATTGGGGGGGCATGTGACAGAACTCCTAGATATAGGTAGATATTGATAGGATGTCTTATTTTGAGTTGAGGAACTACATAAGAGAACTAGGATATACAATAGATTGTGATTTTTTCATCAAGTGGGATGGGTGTTGGTCCTTGTTGATAATGATAAGGTTATATTTGACCTTTTCAATATGATAAATGATGGGGATACAGTGGAGGTGTATGTTTTTCATGGGGTTAGTGAAGCTAATCAGGCCCCACTTGAATTGGAGTTTTTCCCCCATGTGACTGAAAATGGGGTAGGTGAGGAATGTTTTAATGAGATTTCTAACCCTAATAATCAACCTCCTACTTCTACTTTTCCTTCCATCCCTACAACTGGTCCTTCTGAAACTTCTAGCACTCTATTTGAAGCTCAGTATTCTACTGTGCCTCCACCATCTCCTTCTATTGTGTCTCCTTCTTCTACTGTGCCTCCATCATATCCTTCTGTTGTGCCTTCTCCTTCATCTGATTATCCTATAATAGATAATGATCCAACTGATGATGAAGTGAAGATGAATCAGGATCTGAAGGGGATACTTGTGAAGATACTGAGGTTGACAGTGA